GCCGGGGGGTTTTATTGTCCGCCCCACCTAGAAAAAGGGTTGTCATCCTTTTTTTTTTTTTTTTTTTTTTTCAATCCCTGTGTTATAACAGTGGGATTAATGAATTGGTTTGTACATACCTGGTCCAAGAAACTGGCAGCCCCTAGCCCTCACTGCAGCCCAGAGATTGGAAGAGAGTTGCTGAGGATTCTGATGTTGAAGAATGAGCTCTGTGACTGTTCTTTCACCCAGTGACCTTGCTGCACGCATGGCTCTGATCCGCCCTTCTTCTTCTACTAGTTGGCAGTGGACTAATGTCACAAGTTTCCTTTGCATGGGACGACTCAACACACTCTGAGTGGTACTGTTCAGACCTACACCTTCACAACAAAAGGGGAGAAGTGAGGAAAGAGTTATATTTCTACTTCTACACAACTCTAAAAAAGTGCCTAAATTCCCAATTCAAAATGAAGCACAGAATTTAATTATGCTAAATTTTCCATCCAAAGTTTATAAAAAAACAAAACAAAACAAAACAAACCAAACCAAAAAACCCCTCTAAAACTCCAGTGGGTTCACTTTAGGCACTGCTTAGGGAAAAAAGTAAAAACCACGAACAAACCACCACCCCCTTCAGGTCTACTCACTAGGTCCAGGACTCAACAACACATGGCCACTGGGCTGAATCCAGCCTATGGAGGCTGGAAGGCTTTGCCTCTGCCGACACCCCTGCTGGGGGTGGGCAGCAAGGAGCTGCACTGGGGCAGGCAGCTGGAAGCTGCTCCCACATTGCTGCCCCTTCTCCCTGCCCCCTCCTTTCCAGCTGCAGTGCGGACAAAGCTCCCAGCCAGAGGGGAACTGAGTCCAGGCTGGGCAGCTTCTAGCTGAACCTGCGCTACAGCCAGGAAATGGGAGAGAACCGGCAGCAAGTGTAGACACAGCTTCCAGGTGCCCAGCCCTGGCTCAGTTCCCCACCAGCTGGAAGCTGTACCTGCACCCCAGCCAGGAAGTGAGGAGCTAGGAGAAATGGAGGCAGTGCAAGCACAGCTCCCAGCTGCTTGGCCCCAGCAAATCCCCCCTCACTGCTGACACACCACCGAAGCCACTCAACACATGCTGGACTGGAGCCGGGTTGTTCCAGCTTGCAGCTTATAAAGGTTGACAGGCCCTGCACTAGACAGACAGGTCTAGTATTTCTGCTGCTCACAGCTTTGTCAAAGTGCACCAGCTCCTTGAAATGAACAAGATTCTAGTCAACTTCACTGCTTCTATTTGAAGCCACTGCAATATCAAACTTCAACTGACTGCATTCTCTCTCTGTTCAGCTTTTCTAATCTCCAGATATATTCACAGACCAGCAGAATATAAAAATACTGTTTGCTGGGAGCAGGGGAAAAGTAGAAAGTGTCATCCAGACTTCTTTCATAAGAGCCAGGAAACTGGGGTGGGGGTGTAGAAATGATGGCTAGCTATCTATGTCCTCCAGCAATTAGGACACTCAGGCAAGGGAAGAGGAAAAGCAGAGGGATGAAGCCTCCATTATTCCAAGCAGACAGAACACTCGGGAGATGCATGGGGCAAAGCTGAAAAATGTAATTGGGAACCAGTTAACTATTGGCCAAGATGAAAGTTAGAAACCACAAGTGGGTCTAAAAGCACACTAGTGGAAATCCTCTTATCCACTCCCTGCTTCCCAAACGCTGTTCCCCTGGACTTCACCTCTCCTAACCTACCAGATAGATCTTTACATAAGTAATAAAGTTACTTTGTGTAATAGTTATTACTACATTCTCAAACAGAACTATTCAGATCAGGGCGGGCATTTATTTTGGGCAGAAGGCCACTTACTGAGTTTTGGCAAGCCATCGAGGGCCGCATGATAGGCAGCCAGGGGCAGATAAATACTAATTTGTAAATTTTTTTAGGGGCCCGGTGGGCCAGATAGAATGGCCTGGCAGGCCACATCTGGCCTCTGGGCCGCATTTTACCCACCCCTGATTCAGATGGATCCAACACTTATAAAAAAGAATGAACAAGTTTTGACTTCCTGTTCCTACATGCAGGAAAGAAGGATAATTCTGACCACAAGACATAAGATTTTCACTTTCAAAGAATTTCACTTTCATGCTTTATGCAAAAAAAGGTTACATTTTACACTAAGGCAGTCATCTTAACATCAACTCTTCAGAGAAGAAAAAAAAAGCATGAAGTTATTTCTGTCTTGATGCAGCTAATAATAATGTTGACCATAAATTTTCTGCTCCGAATTTACTTCAACTAACTATGGCAAAGGTCAAAACTATATCTTTGCCTTCCCTCAGTATGATTTTACATTAGAATAGTTCTCTCTATATAAAATTAAACACACACACACTACTTTTATTGCAGTGAAGACGTAGCCACACACACTACTTTTATTGCAGTGAAGACGTAGCCCAAAAGCTCAGAACACATATTTCCTTATTAGATCTTAATCTATTTTTCAGGAAGGCTCTACCGTAATAGTTTTATTTTTGTTTTGCTATAAAAACATTGAGATGAACCTTTATATGGTCCCATTTCTCAGTTCAAAAGGAAATGGGAGTAAAGGACTTGCCTCTTGCACTGCTGAGTGGTTTGAGGTACAATGCTAGCTCTTCTACACACTTCTTGCCTTCCTCATAATGTTTGGTGTCTTCAGCTCCACTGCACAAAGTAATTGGCTGCTGTTCAGGAACCTGTAAAGAGATGACAGGTATGTATGACACTGTAGATGTATGCATGTATATGCACGCAGTCATATCAAAATGATTAACGTCATGTGTTTTCTTTTTTATTCCCCTCCTCACAACTTTCTACAGCACAAATGTATGAATCTACTCCAACATCTAGAATTCTTGACATTTCACTTTATCTATTTTATTCTTAACCATTGATTTTTTTTGTTTGGATTAAACAAAAATGCCAAAGAATATGTAGTATGTTTTCATATGTGTAATGCAACATTTAGCTAGATAGTCTGCTGTATCATATTGCTTCACAATGATACTATATACCATATTGGTTAAGCCATTTATACCTTAGAACAGGGGTTGTCAACTGGGAGTACATGTACCCCCAGGGGTGCTTGAGAAAGTCCTAGGGGGTATGCGTGGGCAGGGATGGAGTGCCACCATGCACTGTCCCGCCGGATGCAGGGGCAGCTTGCATGCGGCAGTTGTCACCGCTCCGTGTTCAGCTGTGCACTGCCCACCCCCATACACCCCCTGCGTTCGGCCATGCACCACCGTCCTCCCCCAGGCATCTGGCGGCCGGGGATATACTGCTGTGTGTGACCAGTGGTGGGGGAACGCTGATCCAAAAAGGTTGAAAACCCCTACCTTAGAAAAATGTTTAAAGGTAATAATAAATCTTGCATCAATTTCAGGTTTACTTAAGAACACATTTGCAAAGGCTTTTCTAATTAATGGCTGAAATAAAAAAAAGCAGAATGTTTTATCACTCATTTGCCAAAGCATCTATGATATCAGATAATAAAGGAAACACACAAGGAGCTTCTTTTATATAAAAAAATCCCCTTTTCCTTAGAAAGGTCCACACTGTTCAAGCTGTCTAAAATAAAAGTATTCAGAAAGGCGCTCTCAAAGCTAGCAAGCCTAAAATCAGACCAGCTGGATTTTGTTTTACAGGAACACACAAAACTACACCAAGGACTTGGCAACTCCAAAAGTGCTTACTAGTAGATAAAACACAGTCTGAAACAGCTGCATCTCAGATATATGCCAAACAAGCAGCACACAAATTGTTTGGACTAAAGGCTTTTTTTTTTTAAGTTGTGAAGGGTATAAAAACACTGGCAAATGTACTGGGCCTCCCTCTTAAAATACAGGGTCTGACTATAAACGGAATAAATTTTACATGCTGCACTGTGCATGCATATATGTGTACTTTATCTGTCTGACATGACATGTAAGCTAGACTTTCACCTTTTCTGGGGCTGTTTTAAACTGCACCATTCATGTATACTAATTTCAGCACTTTCCAGCTAATTCATAAGAAAGCAAGACTTTCCAAGGGAAGAAAGGAACTTTAGGTTGAATTAACTTTTCTTGTTTGTTCGGGGAAGGGAAGGGGGCAAACTTTAGAACAGTGGTCTCCAAACTTTTTTGATCGTGCACCCCATCAGTAAAAAATTTCTGAGCACGCACCCCCAATATATGTATATTTATATAAATATAAATAGAAGTTCTAATATTTTCTTCCTGCACCCCAATGGATTGTCTTGCGCACCCCACTTCGGAGACCGCTGCTTTAGAACATTAACAGGTGCGAGAGTTTAGTCTAACATCTCACCAACAAGCATAAGTATTCCAATGACAACATAATGCCACCACTGCAGACACTGGTGACGTGTAGGGGGTGCACGCGGGTGCATATGCACCCCCTGGAAGTGCACTTCCGGTTCTGCTGCTAGCTCGGAAATTGGCCACTGCGGGGACCCCTACCACAGGTTGGCAATCTGGTGCCCCCCCCAGACTCAGGAGGCACCAGTTGCCCATGCACAGATAATCTGGGATCAGACCCATGATTGGTAGATCTAAAAAGGATGAGCTTCTGCTGCAAGAATTAGAGACCTGGGTCCATTAGTTAAGAGGAAATTCTAGGCTATTCAGCCTTTACATGGGGCCTAAACACTAGAGAAAGAGCACAGAAACTCTGGGAAGTTTATAAATCATTTTTCACTCAGCGAACACTTATTTTCAAGGCTGCAGCCTCTTGTACTCATCTTGACTTGTCAGGGCAATGGTTGGCAGCGCTTCCAAGCAGGAGGCTGAAACCCACCTCAAACCCAAAGCAGATGTTTCCACCCCAGCTGCTGTTACCATCTCTGCCTGACACCCAGCTGCAGTGCAGGCAAAGCTCACTGCCACAAAAAAACCCATGCCCAGAAAGCTCCCAAAGTACCTTGGTACCATAAACTGAATCCAATGGCTCACTGAGCCAGATCCCATTTGTAGGTCCTAAGTTACAGTATTGCCAACCCCACTGTGTCAAAAATCATGAGACAAACTCTTAAAAAAAATCAAGACATTTGGAATGGAAATCATGAGATGCTACTTTTGAAGAGTGTGTGTGTGGGGGGGAGGAGGGGTGTTATTCATGATGGTGTAGGGGGCAATTAGTGTGTGTGCGGGGGGTTTGGAGCCCAGGGAAAGGCAGGATGCAGGGTACTGAGAGTCAGGAGTGAGGGGCAGCAGCAGACACGCACACGCTCACAGCTCTGTTGCATGACTTGCCACAGCACCCCATTCACCCCAGCCCCTACCACACTCCCTCCCTCAATGTGGGGGTCTTGAGCTGCACCCCCCTCCCCTCCACAGACTTACCAGCTTGGCGCTTTGTACATGTGCCAGAAGAAAAAAGTCCTGAGATTTGAGCTCTGTATCAGATCATAAGTCAGAGTTAATTTGACTTGGAAATCACAAGTCTTGTGATTTTTTTTCATGACAGTTGGCATTACTGAGGTTATCAGTCCTGGTTTTAGAATGCTTTAAGCAAGATGTAAAAAAATGTAAAGCAAAATTTTCCCTAGCCTGTTATTAAAATATCTTCAATTATGAAGAATAAATAAACTTTAGATTGCAGAACCTTTATTTTCGCAGCTTGGATAACTAAACCCCCTGAAACTCACTGAAGCAGTTTCATTTTCAGAGGTGGTTTTACTTCTGATTCATTGCTGTGGCATTTACATTTCTATTAGTTTGAAGTTTCAAGTCAAATTTCAATTTAAGACAGAGAATGCCTTTTAAAAAGGGAACAGTCAAAGCATGGGAAAACTTGATTTTAAAAATAAAAACAGCTTTGTAGCTGCTTCCTATCACACCATTAATTGAACATGTGGCTAGGGGCCCCTGTGGCTGGGAGCCCCATCAGCTGATCAGAGTACCCAGCTGAGGGAACCATGTACACCCCCAAGGCTGGGAACACCCAGTTGACAGAGCTCCCAGGCACCATGGGACCCACAGGCCCCCCATGCCTGGGAGACTGAAGTTGCTTGAAGCCCCCCAGGCAGCTGGAAGACTGAAGCAGCTATGTTTTCCCAGCCACAGGGTACAAAGACCCCCCCCTTGCAGACCGCAACTGCCTCTGTCCCTTGGGTGCCCCTGAAACTGGAAGCCCAAGTCAGCTGATGGGGCTCCCAGCCATGGGAGTATGTGGGGGAGCCCCATCAGCTGACCCAGGCTCCCAGCTGGGGGACCTTGCTTCTTGCCAGTGCAAGAGGAGCCCAGGATTGGACTTCCCCTTGTACCAATAACAAGGCACAATGGCATACAATATACAATGCACACAGTTGCACCTCCTACCATGTACGTGCAGCAAGGCAGGAGGCATGATTGTGTGGATCGCACATTAGATCCCACCACACCTTTACCTGCATGTGTAGAGGGGCCCCCAGAGTCAGAAAATGCAAGTGAGCATTAAATTCATACCTTCAGCTATTATGCATTCAGGCCCTTGGCAGATGTTACACTTAAGATGCAATTAGTCTGTTAATTGCATCTTAAATAGCAACCCAACCACACATTCAGGCAACTAATGGCACCAGAAAGAGGGAAACCAGCCACAACAATATTATACAAAAAGATTTGTGATATTTTTGTGACTGGTTTCCATCATGCCTTGAATTCAACGTGTGCCAAGGTTAGGACTACACAGTCAGCCTGGTGTGGTCCCTGCCAATCAGCTGGTTCTTGGACTGCACCAAATGATTGTAGGCTAGCTCCAGAGACCATAGTAAGGCCAGTTCAAGTCCTAGTATGAACTCCCAGAGCCAGATGATAATTAACCGATTGTTGGGAAACTGGCTTTCAACTTGCTGGTGCAGGGCAAGCCCAGGATCGGGTCCCAGGCTAGCTCCTGGAACTGTACTGGGGGCAGTTCATGCCCTAGTACAGTGCTGGAGCCAGCTGACAATCACCTGATTAAAACAGGCACCTGACTTTCAACTTGCCACTTCAGGTGGAGCCTGAAATCATGATCCCAGGTTCCTCATGTACTGGCAAAAGGAATTCAATTGGGATCCAAACTCTGATCCCAAAATTGCACGTTCTGCCATGCATGTACTCTAATAAAGCTGAACTTGTTTTATCTGAATCCAGTATATTCAGAACAGTAGAATTTCCTTCATATAAGGAGAGGTAAGTATCTTATGTTCCCCTGTCCCCTATCCATCTCCTTTCAGAAAAGGAAACAAGTTTAGTCCTAGTAAGGGAGCCTATGTGCTTCTTCAGAGTATTGTTTCTATAATATAAGTGCTATATTTTTTTTTTCAAAAAACAATCATAATTTCCTCATCCACTTTCCAGTGGATATCTCAATAAAACAATTTTGGGTGAAGAAGACCGTACAACTAAGAGTATTTATGTTCATGACCACTACTACAGAAGCAGTTCCCTCCACCTGCCTCTCCCTCATCACTAGAGATCTTGGTTTTCTCCATTTAAAAGTCGCAAATACTGATTAAAACCCCCCAAATCCCTCACCACCCACAGCCCCGCCCCACCCCCCGCTGGTGCCCCTCACTCCCAAACCACAGTCTCTCTAGCCCTCCCAAATCCCTCACCACCCACAGCCCCGCCCCACCCCCCGCTGGTGCCCCTCACTCACCACCCACAACCCCTTGCGCTCCCAAGTCCTGTTGGAAGGGGCCCCCAGCTGCCACGGCTATGGGGTCAGG